GCGGCTGGAGAAGATCATTTGTCCCAGGATCACAACAGCCCTTCAGACCAGCTCCTTCAGTAGAAAAATGCAGACTCCAGGTGCCCCATTTTCCAGGATGAAAGAAGGGGCTGAGGATCCATTGTGGACTGGCTGACTTTTCACTATATTGTTTGGAACACTCCCTTGTTTAATGTATTAATATACAGAAGTGTAGAAATAGAATGTTTGGTCATGAGCCAATAAAAATGTGAAATACACACCCTTGGTGTATTCCAGACTTTGTAGGCTTTCTTGCAGCCAAGACAGAAAGACAGGAAGGAAGGAAGGAAGGAAGGAAGGAAGGAAGGAAGGAAGGAAGGAAGAAGGTGAGACAAAGAGATAGGGGAGGAAGGAAGGAAGGAGAAGAGGGGAGACAGATGGGGAAGGGAAGGAAGGAAGGAAGGAGAAGAGGTGAGACAGAGATAGGGAAGGAAGGAAGGGAAGGAGGGAGGGAGGGAGGAGGAAGGGAGGGAAGGGAGGAAGAAAAATGAAGACAGTAGGAGGGAGGGAGGAAGGAAGGAGACAAAGAGATGGGGAAGGGACAGGAAGAAAGGAAGGAAGGAAGGCTGATGCAGTCTAAAAAGCTAATTTCTAAGCATTGTTTCTGAAAACCAAGTCCAGCAATGTTCTCATGATCTCCTTTTATGACCAGATTCAAACTCTACCAGATTCTTCAGATATTGAGCCAACCAGCCAGAAACAGGGTGGAGGACAACCAAGTCCAGCTGGACTCCAGGTCCAAAGTTTCAACCCCTGCCCTGCCTTCTTGAGCATTCCTTCCCTTGCCTGGAGGGCTTCCTTGTCTTCTTTCTTCTCCTCAAAGTCCTGTTCCAACTCGCTAGGAGGGAAAACAACCTCAGCCTGCTGGGGATACGATTGACACACACACAGACACACACCAGCTCTTTAGGCTGTTGCGACATCTCTTTGGAGGCCTTTGTCAAGCAAAGTCTGGCCAGGAAAAAGGCATTCCAGCCATCCTGGACTTTGCCCCCAAGACAAGTGGATTCAGGAAGGCAGGCAGGTGGAGGAGAGCCTGAGTAGCCTGGGCTTGTCCGGAGCAGATTCTGTCTCTTGATAAGAGTCCTTCTCTGCCTGCAATCTGCTGTTTGGGCACTGCCCCAGTTTTCTGCTGCCAGCAACTGCCGGCAGGACACACAAACACACAGCCACACAGGCTTGAAGCCAAGGCATTAGCAGGCAACCTGTGTGGAAGACGAAAGACCAATTCAAGCATTTGTCTTCCTGCTGGTTGAAGAGTAGAACCCCTAGTCTTGCACTGAGTGGCATCCTTCTAAAACATGGTTTCCCAACCTTGACAGCTTTAAGAATGATTTGCATCCAAAAGTTGAAGGTGCTCTAACACGGGAGGTTTTTAAGAAGAGATCGGACAGCCATTTGTCTGAAATGGCAGAGGGTGTCCTGCCTGATCAAGGGGTTGGACTAGAAGACCCCCAAGGTCCCTTCCAACTCTGTTATTCTGTTATTCTGCTATTCCGCTATTTTCTTTCTTTCTTTCTTTCTTTCTTTCTTTCTTTCTTTCTTTCTTTCTTTCTTTCTTTCTTTCTTTCTTTCTTTCTTTCTTTCTTTCTTTCTGCCTGCCTGCCTGCCTGCCTGCCTGCCTGCCTGCCTGCCTGCCTGCCTGCCTGGAGGTTTTTAAGAAGAGAATGGAGAACCGCTTGTCTGAAATAGTATAAGGTTTCCTGATTGAGCAGGAGGTTGGACTAGAAGACCTCCAAGGTCCCTTCCATTTCTGTTATTCTGCTATCCTTCCTTCCTTCCTTCCTTCCTTCCTTCCTTCCTTCCTTCCTTCCTTCCTTCCTTCCTTCCTTCCTTCCTTCCTTCCTTCTCCATCACTGCATGTTTTTAAGAAGAGATTGGACAACCACTTGCCTGAAATGGTATAAGGCAGGGATCTGCAATCTTGACAACTTTAAGACTTGTGGACTTCAGCTCCCAGAATTCCTCGGCCAGCAAGTCTTAAAGTTGTCAAGGTTGCAGATCCCTGGTATAAGGTTTCCTGCTTGAGCAGGGGGTGGATGCAGATCAAAGGCCATTGTTTAGAACCATGAACTCCAGTCCTCTGCATATTCATATGGATTTGTTCCTGAAATTTAGAGAGGATTGTTTCAAAATTTGGCCACTTTTGATATTCCAGGAATTAGGATTCCCTGGTTGAGTTTTGGAAAGAATCAATTCACATTCAACCATTTTTACCTCCTGGGAATGATTTGAGTTTAGAAGACACTATTTAGATTCTAAACCAGGGATCTTCACACTTGGCAACTTTAAGACCTGTCGACTTCAACTCCCAGAATTTTCCAGAGAGCCATGCTGGCTGGGGAATTCTGGGAGTTAAGTCCACAGGTCTTCAAGTGGTCAAAGTTGAACGCCCTGTCAAAAATTATATCACAAGAGCAGCAGTAAATGTCCAGTCTCTTCCCACTCGGTGCCCTCTAGATTTGTTAGGCTACAATTTCCATTATCCCCAGCTAGCATTGTTGTTTGGGGTGATGAGAACTGTAGCCCAATAGATCTGTGAAGAGGAGAAATTCCAATTTTTGCATAATCTCCCAGGAGTTTCCACCTCATTTCTGAAACTGGAGACCAAAACAAAATAGCACTTGCCTGCTGAAGTTCTAAACTGGTTAGTCAACTTTCCCCATAAATGAAAAATAGCATTTAATTCCAATAGCCTTTGTCTTCTCTGCTTCCTCTTCGAATATAAAAATTGACCTCTTCTGTTTGGAATAGAATTGTCTATCTCCCTCTGCCGGCCAAAAAAAAGGGAATATTTTCTTATCTGCACATCCATCAATCCACGTAGTTTTAGTTTTGCAGTTTAAACAGCAGTTCCCCCTATTAGATACCTTCATGTGTTTTGAGAACCAAGAGCTCCACAAATAGTGTTTAAAGAGACAAAATAAATGCCCCCATTTTCAATCACCGCTGCTTTTTCTGAAAAGGGAAGACCAAGATAGATCTCATTGTCTGAAAACAAATTTTCAGAATTCAAGACCATTTTTAAAACAACAATATATACACTTCCACCCACACTACCAATACAATAATCCCCCCAACCTGCAGGGGTGACAGGACTCAGCAGCAGCAGGCTTCTGAGAATATGCAGAGTGCATCCATTTTTACTTGTAGGATATTTATTAATAAGGGGTTTTTTTTTGTAGTGTACTTTTTTGGTTTTTATTTATTGTTCTTACTGATTCTTGCTCGACACCCAGAGTTGCCTTTGATGGGAAGGGCAGATATATAAATTTTATTGATTAATCAATCAATCAATTAATCTTTCTAATACTACTACTACTACCAGAACTCAGGATTAAAGTTTGCAGGGCTCCCTTAAACTTTCACAGCCAATTATTACAGGTCAGGAATCCATACTACGAGGCAGCCCTTGTTTTAGAAATCATTTTAGATTTTAGATTCTATATCATTTTAGAAAGTTCCTATTTTAGAGAGGAACAGTTGTGGGGTGGGGGCCCAGATCTTTGGGCAAGCACCCCCAGCAATTTATAAATCCCCCAGGTCATGTTTTAGCACTTATCTTCCCCACCCAGAGTTTCAAATGTCTTGCTGACAGTCTCTGAATTTTAAGGGGTGGCAGAGCCCCCAAGCCGCCCTCTCCTTTGGTAAAATCCTTCCGGTTACTTTCTCACACTTCTCCTGTGTCACATAACCCTTTTCAGATTATGCACAGTTTTTTTAATAAAAAAAAATGGAAGGAGAACAGAATATTTCAATGTGGAAAAGATGCTCAGGGAGAATAAACTCTGGCCAAAAAGAAATCACGTCATGAATTCAGCAATGCACCGTCTCTTTATCTCCAATCGGGAATATTTGTCAAAGCCTTATTTTTCAACAAAACAAAAATTGAATCGGGAACAATGGCCAAATTATATTCATAGTAGATCATTAACAACGCAGGCTAGGTTTTTCGTTGACTCAGCTGTCCCCGGGTTCCTTCTAAGGAAGGGATGGGAGGAAAAGGCGTGAAAGAATCCAGATTCAAAATTCAGAAATTTCCTCTGGAGTTCAAATCAACCTCAGCCTGCCTTGCCTGTGATTGCAAGGCCAGAGCAAGGGAGGGGGGGCAGGTGGAAATAACCACCTTTTGAAGACACAAAGCTTCCCACAATGCAAAGCGGAGTAGCTGTTGCAAAGGATAAGCTTAAAATCACACCCACATTGCGGAAAAGAAGGGGGGGAGTAAGTCAGAAACTGGGGGACACATCAAAGACCCCAAAACTCACGGAACGAGGTCCCCCGTTCACCCACAGTCATTGCTTGCAGGACTCAGTGATATTTTCCTGGCCACGCCACACCCCTTTTTTAGGCCCTCTTTGTCCACAAATGCATCAGGCAGCCCCCCCAATGCACCCCGATCCTGAGGTCTCCCCAAAATATTGCAGGGAAGCATCATCAGGTGACGGGGGCCAGGGAAGTGGCAGGGATGGCCTAGAATTTGGCATCTGCAAAACTGTGGGTCCTCTTTGGGGGCACCTCCCTCGTTTGGGGCCAGGGAGCTAAAAAGCTGGACAGGAGCCCCAAAGGGGGGTCCCAGGAAGATGGGGCCGGTGGATCTTGTTCCCCCAGACCCTGTCCTAGATGGGGCTATGCTGGGTTTTCCTCCAAGAGAGTCCATTTTCTGAAGCCTTTGAATATTCAAATTGAAACTATCGCGCAATCCTTGATTGTCAAATCAATGGATTCTAGAGGTTTTAAATACTTGGCTTGTGGGGAGAAAAATTCAAACTTATATCTGTAGGTATAAAAGATTAATATTGTTTGTCTCCCAGTCAAGAGCTGCACCAAGACTTTAGAATTCTTTTTTAATCCAAAAATTCCTGTTTTCTTGCATGTTTTCCTTCAGCTTTAGGGAGCCCAGCTGAGTGTCCTTGATTTGGTCCACACAACACTGTTGGGGGTGGAAAGCCAATTGCTCCATTCTCTGTTCCTGAAGAATGTCAGGTAAGTCAGAATTGAATCTTTGGTGGGTTTTGGGGTGTGGGGGGGCCGAGTCCTTCTCTCCCACACCTTTTGGGACTGCTTGCCATCAGAAGATTTTTTACAAAAGGGAAAAAGAAGGGAGAGAAAGGGAAAAGAGAGTGAGGGATTCCCAAATTCACAAAGCAACGAAGTAGAATGATTTTAAGGGCATGCATGTTAAACCAAATCCGGTGTAAACTCATATACATAAAATCCACAAACACACACACACACACACCCAATGCCGTTGCGCCAGGGCTACACCGGGGAACACTGCCGTTCCCAGCTGTGAATGCTCTGGAATGTGGCTACTCCAAAGATGGTTGTTGAAACCACTCTTTGGGGGGGGGGAGAAGAAGAAGAAGAAGAAGGGAAAAAACCACGGTGAAGTTATGTGGCTAATTCTTAATCCGTCTGGTTAAAATGTGCATTTTTTTTTTCAAAACCGTAGACTGAATTTCTGGCATTTCAGGCTGCGCCAAGTGGGTTGCAAAGTCTTTTTTTAAAAACGTGTGTGTTTGTGTGCGTGTGTGTACCCCCCAAACCCCAACCAGCGAACTGCAATTTTGATAAAGAAGGCTTGAGCGTTTCCATCTCACGGCCCCCAAAATTCGGGCTTTAGAAAGACCGGCTGGTCGGGCGCAAAAGAGAGGGAAGGCGCCCCTCCCTTTTGGGGGGTGCGAGGCTGCTCAAGGGAGACACCCCCCCCCCGTCGCCAACCGACTCGGCTCCCAAGGCTCCCCCACCTCTCCCGTGCGATGCTTCTGACGGCCAGCCGCGGCGCTGCCGCGTAGCGAAAGCTCTGCGCGCAAAGTGGCTGCGCGCTGCTGGCTCGTTCTTACGAGCGCCGGGGCGCGATTTGCGCCGTCTGCGCCCGCCTCGCTCTGGAGCGGATTTAGGGGAGCTGGGAGAGGCGCGCGGAGGGCAGGCGGGGGACCTGCGAGCCGTGCTTGGGAGTGCAACTGACGGGGGGGAAAGATGGGCTGGGGGGGGAATGACTTCGGGGGTCGCTTTGCAGGATGAAAGCGCAGTCGAGGAGCGCGCTGCGCCCCAGAAAGCTTGCTCCGCGGGCGAGGTCTCCTCCAGCGCCTTTCCTTCCCCTTGACCCCGGGGAAAGCGAGGCAGGGTCCCACCGCGACCCCCGAGCAGGGCCGGCCGGAGAGGGGCATCCAGAGGCGCGCCAACCCTCCGCGCGCAGCCCCGAGGCGCTCTCCAGCCGGCTTGGTGCTGGCTTCTCTCTGCCCGACGGCGCCGCGGCTCGCCCCGTCCGCTCGGCCCCCGCCGCCCCACCCAGCCCTCTCGGGAAGGCACCGCGGCGCCCTGGGACCGTGGAGCGCAAGCAGGAGCGGGGCCAAGTCTTGCGCTCCTCCCACCCCCGGCCCCGTCTGGGCGATGCCGCTGCCAGTCCTGCGCCCGCCGCAGCCTCCGGGACGCGTTTTGCGGACTGCGGGGGAGTCGGCCCGGTTGCAACCCAGTCGCCCGGGCCCCCTCCGGATAGTCCGATTCCTGGAGGGGATGCAGAGACACCCCAAACGGCCAGCCTTTCACCCCAGCCTTCCCTCCTCTTCCTCCTCCACTCCCAGATGCGGAATGACCGGCCGGCCGCCTCCCTTGCCCCCTTCCCCTCCCCAAAAAACGAGCGTACAATTCACTCACAAAGGCCGGCGCTGCTGCACCACCCAGAGGCGTCCAGGACCCTCCTGGCTCCGGCGTCAAATCGCAGGACGCTGGGGGGGGGGGGGGCTGAAAGCACAGAGGAGGCTAAACTACACTTCCCAGGATGCCTTGGAGGGGGGAAGTAACCCAGGTGGTCCAGACCCCCAAGGGGAGTCTCTTTCCAATAAGCTTCCACAACCTGGAGCCCCCTCCCCCCCCACCGCAGATCTCACGGAGGTCCACCATATATTGCCCACCCTGGGCGGTGATCTCAAAAGGGCGCCGGTTTTCGGAAAGCGGTTTTAGAGGCACAGGTGATCTAAGCACTAGGCCAAGTCTAAGCCCAAAAATACCATTTTTGAGGATTTTAGTTGAATGTGCGCTAGATAAAGTCACAATGGAAAGGGCACCTTGATGGAATCTGGTCTAAAAAACACGAGAACAGCCATCAAAATACCCATGATTATACATTACAGTGGATGCTTTTGAAATGGTTCTTAACTGAGTCTGAGTTAGAGATCAATGGTAAGCAAGAAACTTGTCACCCACCCACCCACCCCAAGTTTCTGAGGGATCCAGACAAGAAAGGTGTGTTTGTGTGTGTGTGTGTGTGTGTGTGTGTATGCACATGTGTGCAAGAAATGGGCACTGGCAGAGATGCACACAGCCAGGCAGGTCTAAAGTGAGGCAATTTGTGTGTGGGGGGGAGGGCTAACAGAATTAATCCCCCCCAGGCAGTGAAAGTTGAATTAAGTCATTGAAGCCATGGGGGGGGGGGTTGTTCCTATGAAAAAGCTCATCCTGTGTTTGGAATCCTTAGGGAAAGGATAGGATCCCAACAGACAACATCTTTATACAAGGTGATGAATTGAGCAGCTAGAATTATTGGGGGGAGACGAAGCTGGTGAAAAATGATGCTGGCTGAGGAATTCTGGGAGTTGAGGTCCACAAGTCATAAAAGGGCCTAGTTTGAAGACCCCTGGCCTAAAGGGTCAGCTTGAGTAGAAAACAGAGCTCGGAAGCGGACAAGTTAAATATGTTCTAAAAATGTTCCTCTCAGGACTTTTCCAAAGCGCCCACTGGGGATCTCTGTAAAAACACAAGGCGGGAGTGGAGACCTGTAAGGTAATCCTGCTGAGTTCGTCTTAATCTCCCTACAAAAGCTCATTTTTAAAAAAAAACTTGGCAACTCCTTTTAAAGAATTCAAGTGGTCTCCCGTCTAAATCATGCGGCTAACATTTGAAGCAGTTGGGCGTCTGGAGTTTTCCTCTGTTTAGGGATCCAGGTTCAAATCCACCCTTCACTTTAGACACGCCCTGGATGAATTGGGGCTGTATTTTCTTAGCTGGCTGTTCTTTGCAACTTGTGTTATTTTGGGGATGAACTAAAGGGAGGTCCCATGCTGTGAGCTCATGCAGGAAAGACAGAATGTGAAGAAGGAAGGACGGAAGGAAGGAAGGAAGGAAGGAAGGAAGGAAGGAGGGAGGGAAAAAATGGATGGGGAATTCTGGGAGTTGAAGATACACATCTTAAAGTTGACAAGTTTGAAAAACACCAGTTTAATATAATGGGTAAACCTTGCCAAGTGTGGTTTATTTAATAAACTGTGGTTTATTAAACTTTGGATCAAAGTCAGAAGATGTCAAAGCTGTTGTCATCACACACCATACTAAGCTGTCACTTCTTCTAACCCGAATTGGCTTGAAAGAAGCCACAGCTGGCTGTTTCAATGTTTTGCATGTTGCTCTTAGGAGAAGGCAGAGAGTTCCAGCCACTGCTGAAACCCCAGCCCGGCCAGGGCCCTTCCGAGTGTCCTGGGTCTGCCAAGGGGCATTTTTTGCTCTCTCCTTTCAGGGAAGGCGAAGGTCTACCAAGGCGTTCGAGTGAAGATGACCGTGAAGGAACTTCTGCAGCAGAGAAGAGCCAAACAGGCCATGGTGGCTGAAGCTGTAAGCATCTCCCTTTAAACTCTTTTGAAGTTTAGATATTAAATGAGCCATTTGAATAGATCAGCTATGGGGTCCTGGTTCCATTTTCAGGGCTATCATCAATATTAGCACTGATGATGTTACCTAGTTGGGTCATGAAATGTCTGCCAGAAAATAACCAAACTCAGAGAGCAACAAAGACCTCATCCTCCTCCTCCTCCTCCTCCCCCTCCTCCTCCCTGCAAACCCCAGTCTCTTCTAGTACTGATGATGTTACCTAGTTGGGTCATGAAACATCTGCAAGAAATCCACCAAGCTCAGAGAGCACAAAGGAACCCACAGTCTTCCTCCTCGCCCTCCTCCTCTCTTCTAGCACTGAGGATGTTACCTAGTGAGCTCATGAAACATCTGCAAGGAAGCCACCAAGCTCAGAGAGCAACAAGAACTCCACAGTTCAACCCTGAACTACAGAGATTCTTTTTTATCAGTAGATGAGTTGTCTCCTCCTACGCATCAAATAAATTATTTGGTGGCTATCAAAAAAGTGCCATTTTCCCTCCATCATTTCTTCAGCTTCTGGCCAATAGAATCCAAGAGCCTCACAATGCTTCACAAAGTCCCCTCTTCACAAACTCCAGCCCTCCTTGAAGTAGTCCTCAATGTTCTTCCTTGGCTTTCTTCCAAATCCCACACAACCTGATGAACAAGATTTTGCTTCCAACCCTCCCTTAAAAGAGAGAACAGAGTGCTGGAGAAGTTCTCCCGGGTGGAGCTGGCCAAGAAGAGGTGGCAGGTGGCCATTTCTTTCTCTTGCAACCTGCAACCTTCCCACGGCTTTCCATGGATCTGTTAAAACCCCCAAGGAAGATCTCAGGAGAACCTGCCTGTTACTCTCATCGCCAAGGGGGAAAGCCGTCCAGCCCTCGGTCACGGCTGCAGCATTTGTTCTCCTGCCAGAGAACTCCGATTACATTTCTTTTGTTTGTCTTCTCATTTGGAGGAGAGTTTCAAAAGGCCCTTTGAAAACCCAGGGTCGTTTCCATTCTTTTGAATCCGGGGCGTGTGTGAACCTCCCCTCCTCTCCCTTCCTCTGGATTGGTCACAATGGTGGGTGGGTCGCACCAGGAAGGTGGGGATGGAATTTACACCTTGGTGGGTTCCGTCTCCCAGCCCTTTGTGACTCAGTGTACCGCACGGATCCCAGCCCATTTGGTAAACTGAACATCAGAGGACTTATGGCTGAGTACAATGTGCAAGGTTTGGCCGCTGAACGTAGAAAAACCCAGTGGTGTGAAAGGCAGGGCGCAAACCTGGAGGAGAGAATGAAGTAGGGAAAAATCACCAGGCCATCAAAACCTCTTGGGTCCCTTTGGAGTCTTTCTGATAACAAACCAGTTTGTTTCTGTTCCTTGTTCCAGGAAAAAAAATGTCCCTGTTCTCCCATGGAAAGCACATCAGAGAGGATTAAAGAGGTATCTACTCCAATGTTTCTCAACCTTGGCAACTTGAAAATGTGTGGACTTCAAGTCCCAGAATTCCCAGAATGGCTGGCTGGGGAATTCTGGGAGTTGAAGTCCACATATCTTAAAGGGGCCATGTTTGAAAAACTCTGATCTAGTGCAACCCCTGGCCGGGACAGAAATTCTGGTCTCCTCCAGTATCTTCCTCATCTGCTCCCCATTTGGGAAGGGGTTTCCTTCTGTATGTCTCCTTTGACCTTGGCCTTCAGCCTTGGCAAGGACAGGAGCTGAAAAGCAAAGGCAGAACATTCTTGTGAGGGGCACTGCAAGCATTTCAAGAGACAGTTCTATAGGCGCAGAAACGGTTTTTGAAAATTATTTCTTGGGAGCACAAGGCCCTTGCCTTTGATTCAAATATGTCTGGAGTTTGAAACCTCCATTGTTGCATGTTGTGTAAAAGAAGCTGCTAACAAGAGGAGCAAGCAGAAGAAGGTGGTCAATTCTCAAGACTCCAGCTGCAAATAAATCTTGCCCAGATGTGATTTATTTATACATTAGCATTTTTCCCTTTCCTTTCCTTTCCTTTCCTTTCCTTTCCTTTCCTTTCCTTTCTCCTTCTCTATTTCCTTCCCTCCCTCCCTCCTTCCCTCCCTCCCTCCCTCCCTCCCTCCCTCCCTCCTTCCTTCCTTCCTTCCTTCCTTCCTTTTCACAAACTGCCCTCTCAGGATGCAGGTTTTATAGACAGTGGAAGATCCGTTACATTTAAAGGCTGCAAAGCTTTGGGGGAGCAGGCATCCCTAAATTATATCTAGTCGAGGAATAACATTGAGGAGGACCCCAGATTAAATACACCCAAGGAAGGAAGAACTTTCATTAATTGCCTTACAGNAACCCAGGGTCGTTTCCATTCTTTTGAATCCGGGGCGTGTGTGAACCTCCCCTCCTCTCCCTTCCTCTGGATTGGTCACAATGGTGGGTGGGTCGCACCAGGAAGGTGGGGATGGAATTTACACCTTGGTGGGTTCCGTCTCCCAGCCCTTTGTGACTCAGTGTACCGCACGGATCCCAGCCCATTTGGTAAACTGAACCTCAGAGGACTTATGGCTGAGTACAATGTGCAAGGTTTGGCCGCTGAACGTAGAAAAACCCAGCGGTGTGAAAGGCGGGGCGCAAACCTGGAGGAGAGAATGAAGTAGGGAAAAATCACCAGGCCATCAAAACCTCTTGGGTCCTTTTGGAGTCTTTCTGATAACAAACCAGTTTGTTTCTGTTCCTTGTTCCAGGAAAAAAAATGTCCCTGTTCTCCCATGGAAAGCACATCAGAGAGGATTAAAGAGGTATCTACTCCAATGTTTCTCAACCTTGGCAACTTGAAAATGTGTGGACTTCAAGTCCCAGAATTCCCAGAATGGCTGGCTGGGGAATTCTGGGAGTTGAAGTCCACATATCTTAAAGGGGCCATGTTTGAAAAACTCTGATCTAGTGCAACTCCTGGCCGGGACAGAAATTCTGGTCTCCTCCAGTATCTTCCTCATCTGTTCCCCATCTGGGAAGGGGTTTCCTTCTGTATGTCTCCTTTGACCTTGGCCTTCAGCCTTGGCAAGGACAGGAGCTGAAAAGCAAAGGCAGAACATTCTTGTGAGGGGCACTGCAAGCATTTCAAGAGACAGTTCTATAGGCGCAGAAACGGTTTTTGAAAATTACCTCTTGGGAGCACAAGGCCCTTGCCTTTGATTCAAATATGTCTGGAGTTTGAAACCTCCATTGTTGCATGTTGTGTAAAAGAAGCTGCTAACAAGAGGAGCAAGCAGAAGAAGGTGGTCAATTCTCAAGACTCCAGCTGCAAATAAATCTTGCCCAGATGTGATTTACTTATACATTAGCATTTTTCCCTTTCTTTTCCTTTCCTTTCCTTTCCTTTCCTTTCCTTTCCTTTCTCCTTCTCTATTTCCTTCCCTCCCTCCCTCCTTCCCTCCCTCCCTCCCTCCCTCCCTTCCTTCCTTCCTTTTCACAAACTGCCCTCTCAGGATGCAGGTTTTATAGACAGTGGAAGATCCGTTACATTTAAAGGCTGCAAAGCTTTGGGGGAGCAGGCATCCCTAAATTATATCTAGTCGAGGAATAACATTGAGGAGGACCCCAGATTAAATACACCCAAGGAAGGAAGAACTTTCATTAATTGCCTTACAGCATCTCAAAAAATTCTCCACTTTTGGAGAGGAAATCCTGGACTTACCTCTGCCATGTAAGGGGGTGAAGGAAGGGGGTGAGGGCGGCGAGTCCTTCCCTGTTTTATTATTGGAGAGAAACACCCCCAGATTTGTTTTGCTTTGTTCCTTTTTTATTCTCAGGTTTTTGGAGAATGCAGCGGAAACGTCCAGGCTGGTGAGGCTTTTTCGCCTCCCTGCACAGGTTGGTACAAAACAGCCCCCTTCTCCTCTCCCCAGCACCCACAAACACATGTCCCTTCTTTTCCCGAGCTTTCTATACCTATTCCTACCAGTTTCTTCTTGAATCCTGGCTTTCAGCTGGGCAGGGGCATTTAATTTTGAAAATGGCCAATCCGCGTTGGGCAGGAGCTTGCTAAGTGCAGATGAGCATCCGGGCTGGGTGGAGAAGATTGGTGGGAGCAAACAAGCTTTAAAAAGAAAAAAGAAAAAAAATCCAGCTGAGTTTGTGGTGTGCTTTTTCTGGAGTGGATTTAAAGGCAGCGACTGGATTTATTTCCTTTTCCTCTTCTTGCAAAGCTAACTTATTTTGGGATCGGTTTGTTTACAACCAGCCATGCTTGTTTTTATTTTCTCTCTCTCTCTCTCTCTCTCTCTCTCTCTCTCTCTCTTCCAGAAATCCCAAAGAAATTAATCTTTTTATATCTCGTATCAACACAACACAATTCTCCGGGATGAAATAGGTTTTTCAGTGGCAGAAAAGCAGGCATTTTTCTCCCAATCCTTAAACTACCAAAGGATAAAGAAACCTTGAGCAATTGAAAGTGAGCAGCTGAGTTAAGAAGCAGCAAATCTAAAGAGCAAATTGTGAGCTCTTTAGAGGAACTCAGGATAAGGGGGGAACTGATTCTCTTAAGCAGAGAAAAACAGAAATAGGAAGGAAAAAAATATAGTTTGAATAAGAGTTGAGGTAGGAGATCCTATGGGCTCGTTGAATTTTTGGATTTTCAAACCCTGCTTCAGCCCTTCAGTGGCATCCTGAAAAATATTTTGTCAGGCATGCAGGTAATATGTCCTCGACTTACGACGGTTAGTTTAGTGACCGTTCAAAGTTACAACAGCACTGAAAAAAAGGGACTTATGACCATTTTTCACACACAGGACCACGAGGTCAAAATTCGGACGCTTGGCCACTGACTCATATTTACGACGGTCGCCATGTCCCGGGGTCATGTGATCCCCTTTTGCGACCTTCTGACAAGCCAAATCAATGGGGGAAGTCAGATTCACTTAACAACCGTGTGACTAACTGAACCACTGCAGAGATTCACATCAGAAGCGTGGCTAGAAAGGCCATAAAATGGGGCAAAACTCACTTAACAAATGTCTCACAATTGTGGATTGTAAGTCGAGAACCGCCTGTCTTTTTAACGCACATTTTTGCTGTGCCAATGCTCTCCTGGGTATTTGTTATTGGCCAGGCTAGCTAAAGTTTCTGCCAACTTCTATTTCACAGCAGAGCTGAGTTCTCCCACCTTGTTTTCTTTTCTCAGTTCCTTACATCAACACGGCTCCTGAATCTTCCTTATCCGGCGGTTTACCACCTTGGCAGTTCCAGAACGGGAGCTCCTGCGAGGAAATTCCCCATTATTTGGAGCAGCTGGTGGATTCTTGCCTTCAAGCTGAGCCACTGCTGGAGGTGCCCTTGGCCCTGGCACAGGACAACCTGGCCTGCTCACCTGAGAGCTTCCAGCCAGCCCTCACCTGCCTGGTACTTGAGTTTCTGGTATCGACAGATTCGGAGGGGGAGCTTCCCAAATCTGGATCCCCAGTCAGAGGCGTAGCGTGGGGGGTGCAGGGGGGGCCGGGCGCACCGGGCGCAACATCTGGGGGGGCGCGCTCGCACTCGCAGCTCTCTGCCCCTGCCTGTGCGAATCCGATCCGAGCCGCCGGGTCGCCGCCCACTGTGGAGGGGGGGGCGCAAATTACTTGCCTTGCCCCGGGTGCTGACAACCCACGCTACTCCACTGTCCCCAGTCCCTAGGAGAAAAGGCCTGCTTTGGTGAAAGAGAAGAGGGGCAGGTGGCTAAGAGTCTAAAAGAGCAGGGGAGAACTGGTGCAGTTGAGAGAATCGGCAGGCAATCCCTTGCGCAACAGGGAGCAAATTCATCCATTTGTAGGTGTCTCTGTTTTACTTTTGCAAACCTGTCCCTTCCTGCTTGAGGATGATGTGCAATCTTGGGACTCTGATTGCACTCTCTTGCTTTATCCATGGGGTTACCCAATCAAGGGAACTTGAAGACCTATGGACTTCAACTCCCAGAATTCCCCAGCCCGCCCATGCGGGCTGGGGAATTCTGGGAGTTGAAGTCCACAGATCTTCAAGTTGGCCAAGGGTTGGGCACCCCTCCTTTAGCTGATTAGCACTACCTGGTGCACTCTTCCTGGAGTCCTATGGACCCAGCTTTAGAATAGAATAGAGCTGGAAGGGACCTTGGAGGTCTTCTAGTCCAGCCCCCTACTCAAGCAGGAGAACCTATACCATCTCAGACAAGTGACTGTCTAGCCTCTTTTTAAAAATCTCCAGTGATGGAGCGCCCACGATTTCTTACTTCTTACCTACCCACTTCTGAGCAAGCATGCCTACAATCGTCCTGTGAACTCAGAATGAAATTTACAGACGGAAGACCGGGTGCTTCATCCTCGTTTTCTCGTTTTAGGGTTCCGGATCCCCCGAGGTTCCTGATCCCTCCAGCACCTTCGATTACAGCTATTCCTCATCTCAGATGCCTCCTTTCGCCCCACTTGGCTACAGCTGCCCGGCTCTGGATGGCAGGAGTTGCATGTATTTGCCCCCAGAGGAAAGCACCTGCCAGCCACAAAACCACGTCCCACACACCTCCGGCCTATCGACGTGCTACTGCACCCCGTGCGGTTCCCAGCACTTGGACACTTTTCGAGCTTCCGAATTCTTTCCCTACGCCACCCTGGATTGCAAAGACTATGCCCCTTCGGTCTCTATGACGGATGACTTCTGGAAGGATAGGAGTTGGGACCTGTGCTACAGTTAGCCTAGCGATGGCCGCCCGCACTTGTGAATGCAGGAGTTCTCTGGACTCAGGTCCCCCATTGTGGGTTTGCCAAGGGCTCCAAATGATACCTTTCTCAGGTCAACCAACATGGAAAGGGCAGGATGCAAGCTTTAGGGCAGGGGTCTCCAACCGTGGCCACCTGAAGACTCTGGACTTCAACTCCCAGAATTCCCCAGCCAGCCATGGGAGATGAAGTCCATAAGTCTTCAAGCAGCCAAGGATGGACACACCTGATTTAGAGGTTTCTGGAATTCATCAATAGGTTGAGTAGAAAGTGAGGAATCCTTCTAAAAACCATGATTTGGGCTAAAACAACCTGTCTCCACTAAGATTTGCTGTGAAATATCCAAATTCTGTACCAAGACAAATTGATTTCTGCAACCTGTTGGGTGCATTTGCAAACTGCCTCTTATTTTGTATAATTTGTTGTGCTCTGCACTCTGACCCTGGTCCTTCCAGTACCATCTTATTCGACAATTTTCTCCATTCTGGTGTTTGCCATGCCATCAGTGGAAGCCCATATGAGCCACATTTCCAAGAGCTAAGAATGCACTTTAAAGAACAATCAATAAATCAATTGTGATATTTTTTTTTACCCCCACAAAGTTAATCCTCTAGAAATAACTGCTGCAAGATTTCAGAGTGTGAAGCAACAATAGCACAATATTTACCCGTAGAGAGAAAATTCACTGGGGACTATTTGTATGTTTCAAACGGCCAGCCCTGAAAATTTCATTGCCTCCCTATTGAAGAATTCTGTGAGATCTGGAAGCTTGCATACCTCTACCAACAAAATGCCCAGTGCTTGACTTGCTCATTCTCATAAAAGCAATGTATATTCTTGCACTCTGTTCAAATAAGTATTTATATTTTTCCAGCGAACTGATAATCATCTAAGTTGAATTCACCTTAGGTTTTTTTTCTGTCATGTTTCCTTAAGGAAGCAAACAAACTTATGAACCACATGCCAATGTTTCTTCTCCCAACTAATCAGTGTGTATGTTTTAAGATTTCATTAAATGAAGATGTGTGTTTTATTTGATCTGTTTTCTCTTTTTTCACGACTTGTCCTTCTTTCTGAGTTCAGTTTGTAACTTTACTATTTACTTTCCTTTAATAAACTTCACTATTGTTATGAAAACGTTCAGTAAAAATATTTTTTTTAAAAAGGAAGAACTCTAAAACAGCACTTTGAAAGACAAAAAAAGCTTAACCATTACTAACAAATGCAGCAATTCATTTAACAGCTATGGCAAGGAAAGTCGTAAAAGGGGGCAAAACTCACTTAAAAACTGTCTCACTTTGCAACCAAAGTGTTGGGCTCAGTTGTGGATTGTAAGTCCAGGACCATCAGTATTCATTCTTTGGAGGAAAAGGAGGTAGGAATGGCGACAGAAATAATTAAAAAAAAAAATCAGTGGCAGAGCTGGGGAATTTTCCATATCCTGCCTTATTTGCTATGCCGCAAGCTGGGATTTCTAAGCTAAAAATTCCACTCAAAATTCCTGATCCTTCAACATGATTGTGAGGGTTTGATTGTGGTGCCACTGTGATTTTATGACAGTGCAAGGTGAGATGATAGAACAGTGACAGCTGCTTCTCTTTATCACATTCATTCCCTCTGCTGCATTGAAAGACAAAGCCAGCTTCTGACATGCGTTTCTGTGCCAGCATCTATTCTCACATGCATGGGGCGGGGGGGGGGATAGCATATTTTATTTCCCAGTGCATTTTTTGTAAAACACCGGCTGCAAAACAGTGACTCCTGGTGGATGTGGGACAAAGATTTTGTTCCAGCTCTTCAATAGGAGCTTTTAAAATCTGTTTCCCTGTTTTGCTACCTTCTCTGCTCCTTCGTCAAGCAGCTTTGCCAGGCAGAAACCGAAGTGCAATATGCAAAAGAGGGGATCACAACGTGGGGAAGGATGTCCTGAGCCTGACATAAAATGATTTCGAAAGTCTTCTTAAGCATCTTGACTCATTTCTTTCTTTATTCCCAGAAGGACCAGCCCAATCAAGGAAGTCGCAAATATTCCCGAACCAAAACTAATTTCACAGCCAGGAACGTGGCTTATATGTAGGGAGAGATAAGAGAAAAATCCTTTTTGTCACCAATTTTGGCTGGCCCACAACTGGTCTCTCTTCACATTTCCTTCTCCATTCACACAACCTGCTTTGTCTGGTTGCTGACCCACCAGAGTTAAAACTAACCAAATTTAACACTGCACCTTTGCACAACCATACTCAGCTTGCCAAATTAGATTGTGCAACAAAATGAAAACAATCACTTTTTGACTGGTAATCAACCCAGCCTTTGTGCTTTGTAAGCCAGGGTTTAATGTTCAAACATGGTGTAGACCAGGCATGTCAAACTCGCAACGTCACGTGACGTCGCGCGACGTATCGGAGCTTTTTCGCCATTGCCGGCAATGGGGTGGGCGCAGCTGTGGTATGATGAAACCGGCCCGCGGGCCGGCAGTTTGACACCCCCGGTGTAGACTATTGTGGTTTCTAGTCATAAACTATGGCTAAACCAAGCAGCATATGGGGAACACCTCAGACAGATCAAAGGCACTAGAATGGCACATGGTCAAGTGACTGACCAAGGCAGAGTTTCTCAATTTTGACAATTATGGACCAAGGAGCAACGGATGGAAACTAATCCAGGAGAGAAGCAACCTAGAATTAAGGAGAAATTTCCTGACAGTGAGAACAATCAACCAGTGGAATGACTTGCTACCAGAAATCGTGGGCGCTCCATTACTGGAGATTTTTAAGAAGAGACTGGACAGCCATTTGTCTGAAATGATATAGGGTTTCCTACCTGAGCAGGGGGTTGCACTAGATGACCTCTAAGGTCCCTTCCAACTCTGTTACTCTGTATGCTGATATATATAAGGGAATGAGACATTAATTGCCTTTCTTTTAAAAGAACTCCCTTCTCCCTAATAAGGTTATTTGCTCCCCAAGGGAGCAGCTGGGGGCCAGCCACCCTTCCCTCTCCATCTGGCAGTCCCAGGTGTTGGGCCACCTGCAACCCACCTGGAGCAATGGATTCCTCGGTCCCCGGCTGCTGTCCTAAAGGCCACACCTTAACAGACAGATAATCTTTATGAGTCTTTTCTTTGCCTGCACCCAGCACCAGTCTGACTCCTAATTCAGAGCAGGTGAAGTCTTGTAAAGCCCCCATTCCATCAGGAATGCAGTGATGTCATATTGGGGGGGGGGGTTACACAGAGAAGATCCTTCCCAGCTATAGAAAGGTTGACCTGAACAATGGCTCCTACTGTTTACCTGATTGTAAAGCATAGGTCGCCCTTCCACCTTTAGTGAGTACATTCAGGATGGCTGAAACTTACAAAGAACAGAGGAGGGTAACCAAGGATCACTCCCTATAACAGTGATCAGATATATTGTTAAAATTGAGGAACCTCTGGTGCATGGTATCTTCTTCTGCCATTCACAACCACCAGCTCCCTTCATGCCCCCTTTTGTTTTTCCTCCAAATTCTTTCCCGTTTCCCTAGCCCCTTGAATTTGAACAGATTTGGATAGAGAAGGATGGGACTTCTGCTGTTTTCATTTTTAAGAAATATAGCCTTGAATTTGTGGTCCTTTGAGTTGAAGGTCTGATGTCCATTCCGAATCCTAACTTGAAGGACATGGAACTAAAGTGGTGAAGCCTTGTGAGATTAAAATGTTTGCTCCTTTCATCTCCAGCTAATCCTGCCCACCAACATGTGTGCCATAACTTTAATAGGAGACCATATTTATGGAAATTTGGTCTCTGGTTTGCAAACACTGCGAAGGAGACTGGGGAGAGCAGGCCGAGGTTCAACCAGCCCCAGTTGTGCCGTGAGGACACAGCACATTGCAGGCCTCCTCCTGCTCATTCTTTCTGGTGTCTGCAGAGCAAAAATGCTGCCCCAGGGCATGCTCTGAAGGTCAGGTGTGGCTTCAGAAATGACCCCAATCCTCCTGTTTGAAGGAGAAAAGCAAAAGATATCTTTTCCTTGAAGGGGAATGAGTGTTGCAGGGACGCCAGCCGAGATAAAACTGCAATTTTCAGGTGATCCTATCAGTGAAATCAGAAAGCCAGGGAGATAATCAGAAGCAGATGCAGACAGATGCAGATGAGTAATTGCCCCATGCTTTGGCTCCAGAAAAATAACCCCCAAAATGTGGGTGCACGTGGATGGGTGTGCGTGAGAGAGGGAAAATAAACACCCCTGGAGGGAATAATCTATAGCTGTCATCCACAGACAACCTGGACATTAAGCAAGCTATTAAGGAAGGTCAGGGGGAGCACACACATTCCTGAGACCTCAAGGTCAACGGTTAACTGCAAATGTCAAGGGGAAGATTTCCAAGACAAACTTTTCAAAAAATGAAGAAATCCTTGCCCATGGGAGATTTGTTTCTGTCTTTTCAAGTTTAATCTCTTACAAAATGTGACTTAGGCAAAGAGAAGGGTACTTTTCCCCAAAAAACATTTTGTTTTCCTAAGTCACTTCTCTCCCACTTAAAACTGCTGGACTTTTTCAGTCCAGTGGAATACAGTAAATATTTATACACTTTAAGTCCAGTGTTTTGTTTTGTTTTGAATGGCTCTGATTAGTGCTGGTATTTGCCCAGCAGTTAAAGGCAAGGCTGTTGGCTTGTCCTCAGCAGGAACGAATATTTGCAAAAGGTGAAAGTCTGCAAATCTTCAAAAAAGGTGGCCAGCTCATGGCTGAACCCCAGGCAAAAGCTGGATGGGAGAGCTGGCATGTAGTGGTAGTCCTCGCCTTACAACTGCGATTGAGCCCAAAATTTCTGTTGTTCAGCGAGACATTTGTTAAGTGAGCTTTGCCCCATTTTCTTGCCTCAGTTCTAAGTAAATCACCGCAATTGATAAGTTAGCAACCCGGTTGTTAAGTGAATCCAGTTTCCCCATTGACTTTGCAAAAGGTGATCACATGATTTGAGACATTGCAATGGTCATAAATAGGAACCAATTGCCAAGCGTCTGAATTTTGATCATGTGACCCCAGGGAAGTTGCAACGGTCATAAAGTGTGAAAAATGGCCATAAATCACTTTTTTCAGTGCCGTTGTAACTTGAAACAGT